AGTAAATAATTTAGATTAATATTTTTTGAAGGGGCCAGGGAGATAACTCAGAGGCATAAGCTCTGACCTGGCAAGCACAAGGACCTGAGTTCAGTCCCCAGCCTGCGTACCCCAGATCCCTGGGGTTGCCCAGGTGCATCAGCCTGGAACGGTGTGGTAGCACACGCTTGGAAATCCCAGTACTCAGGAGGTTCAAACAGGAAGATCTCTGAGTTCGAGACCAGCCTGGAGGCTACAGAAGTGCACACAAGGCCTACAAAAAGCCAACTACATGGCGAGATCATGTCTCAAAATAAAAAAATTCTCTTTGAAAATCCGCAGAACAGTCCACAAAAGTCAAACTGAAATATCGAGGGACTACTCTATTCAGTAAGTACAGTAGGAGCATGCATAGGGACTACTTCTAGAAGAATTAAGCTATAGTAGGTATGAAACAGAGGAGAGGAGCTAGAGAATATTTCTGTCACAGCGTTTGGACAAGGTGCTGCTGATCATCTCTAACACTTGCCTTTTCTCTCACTTCCATCTGTAGATGGCCGTCCTGCTCCCCCAATGAAACGCCAGCTTCGAAGACAAGCACAGAGGGAGAAGTTTGCAGTGAGTGCCTAGAGCTCCAGTAGGGCTATGTACATTGGAATTAGAGGGATACTTTCAGATCAAAATTTGTCTTAGATATGGTGGTGCAGGCCTATAATTTCAGCATTCAGGAACCTGAGGCAGGAGAATTCCCATGAATTCAAGGACAGCCTGGACTATACAGAAAGAGCCTGCTCAAAAAGCTTAAAAAAATTGTCTTGAGCTGTGTTACACCTAAGCTAACACATATGTTGCACATCAAGGTTTAACAACTAAACGTTTATTTTGTTAGGTTCCAGGAATCAAACTCACATCCTGACCTTGCTAGGCAGGCACGGTGCTGCTAAGCTTTATCCCCAGCCCACCTAAACATTTTAACACTGAGAAGGGAGGAAACGAGTGGAGCACCCCGCGGTGGGCGCTCTACCTCATACTTCTCTGCTTCCCGGCACAGGACTGGTGCCACTCGTTCCCAAGTCAGCGGTGTTCATTTCTAGCTGAAACTTCAGACTTTATGAGAGAGAGGATGTGTGGTGTAGTGCACAGACTCCAGATATTATCCATGGTTTTCCTGTCTGTTTCAGCGACGAGTTGTACTGCTGTCACAGGAAATGGATGCTGGGTTACAGGCATGGCAGCTCAGGCAGCAGGAGAAGCTTCAGGAAGAAGAACAGAAACGGAAAAGCGCTCTTAAGCCCAAAGGGACCTCGCGGCAGTGCCCATGCCCAAGTCAATAAAAGCAACTCCTGTCCCTTTCCCCAGCCTCTTTCTTTTCTATCATCTGGATGTCTTAGCCAGAAGAGAGCCTTTATTTGGTCCTCCCTGACCCCCCATTTATCTGTGGAGCGAAAGAGCTGGCTCACCAGGAAGGACGGGCTATAGGGTCATTGTCCAGGAGGCACAGTGCCCTGGGCCCTGGCTCCACCCAGTTCCTCTGAATGTTGCGCTGGGGTTTTGCTCCCGTGCTTTGCAGGCCACAGGATTGGCCCACTTTAGGAGTAGTGGCTGCTCTGAACACGAAAAGTGGGCAGCAGTTTTCCTGGCTTTAACCAGCACTCATGTCTTTCCTGGCCATGCATAGTTCAGCTGAGTGCTGTTCCTATTTCATAAATGTTTGTTAAATAAACGCAAGCTTAGACAAAAAAGGCTTCCTAACAGGTCTCCTTGCAGGTTGCTAGTGACAGTCTCCCTATGGTTCAGGAGCCCCAGGGAGATATCCTACTGCAGGGCTGGCACAAGAAGAACCAAGCTTTGGTGTTGGGTTCTGAGACCTGCAGTGGACTGGAGTGAATTACAGGGGTTGGTTAAATGGTGTGCACCTCCTGACCCCTGCACAAGAGCTTGGCACCCAGTACTTGCTGTGGAATCAGTATCTAATGCCCACCTCCCATAGACTCAAAGCTGCCCAGGACCTGGGAAGCCTTCATTTTATCGATCCCCTGGGTTCCAGGGCAAAGGGCTTTTGTCCCCCTTCCAGGACAGAGCACTTGACCATCTTTCTGCCACTAACATGATGTTCTTGGATCCCTAGCAATTCCAGAGCTTCCTACCTGACCTCATTTTTGTCCATACCCCTCATCCTTTCTTTGTTTTCTTTTCCTCCCTTCCCCCTACTACGTCCTTCCTCTCGCTGACCAAAAGCAATTCTTGGAGCTTAGATTTCGCTGATGGTCGAGTTTTCTGTCTCCCACACTTTTCCTGCTTCTGTTTTACTGCTTTTCCAGATCTAGTTCTCAACCTTATCTGTCTCCCTTTCTCACTAGCATGGTTAGGCTACCTTCCCCCTTCTCTACATGCCTCACCTTTTAATTCTCCCAGCCTAGTCCTTGAAGATTTTACTTTTTTTCCTCACTCCCCCCAACAAAATAGTAATTTGTATTTTTATGGGCCCATCAGATAGCAGTCTAAAGTGGGCATGCTTGAGGGCCAGCCAGATAGCTCAGTGGATTAAAGCACCTGCTTAGGCTGACTTGTGCCAGAGGTTCTATCCCTGGCCTGCCAGGCTGGCCTCACCCCCACAGTACACTGAGATGATGATTGAGACTGGGTGTGGTGGTATGTACCTGTAATTCCAGCACTTGGGAGTCTGAAAACAATTACTACAGGTCCGATCTATGTAGTGAGACCCCATAGACACTGTACTATGTAAATAAAGTGGGCATGCTTGTTTGCACCCATCAACATGAATACCCACAGAATGGAAGGAAAAGAATAGAAGCAAAGCTTGTATAAAAGGGTAGGGGATGTTGAAAGGAGGCAGGTGGGTCAAGGCCAGTCTGGGCTACATACAAAGGCCCTATCGAAACTATTATATACAGGAACAAAGTCTTATTTTAAATAGGATTTATAGGTATGACAATAAAATTTAAACTTACTAAAAAGTTATGAGGGGGGCTGGGGCGATGGCTCAGTGGAATAAGCGCTTCCCTGGCAAGCGCAAGGGTCTGAGTTCAATCCCCAGCTCTGCCTAAAAAATAAAAAGTTATGAGGGGCCAGTGAGAGCTCAGTAGACTAAAGCTCCTGCTTAGGCAACTTTAGGCAAACGCAGGGTCCACACTTCAATCCCCAGCACCACATGCCATGCCAGCCCCTTACCCAGTGCCAGCCAGAGTCTGGGCCTAGTGGGCTATACCTGTAATCCCAGTGCTGGGGAAGCTGAAAGCAGGAGGATCACCATGAGTCTGAGCTGTGTAGTGAGACCCTACAACAACCAGATACATTTAAAAGGTTTTTTTAAAAAAGTTATGAGTACCCATTTCCCTACATCCTTGAATATATACGCTGGAAAGTCTCATCTGTTGCCTGGCATGTCAAGCAGTAAAGTAACTTGCACAGAAATCTGTAATTTTAATACAAATTTAGCAATCTTGTTATGGTATTTAAATTCTGCCTCTTAGAATTCTCAGGATCAAGCCAGCAAGACAGCTAGCTCAGCAGACAGCGCCTTGGGTGCACTGAGCCAGCCACAGAGATCAGGCATGGTGACACATGCCCATAATCCCAGTGCTGGGGAAGCTGAGACAGGAGGATCACTAGAGTCTGAGCTGCTCAGACCCTGTACCAAACACATTTAAAAAAAAAAAAGACTGGCCAAATAGCTCAGTGGATTAAAGTGCCTGCAAGCAGGCACAGGCCAAGGTTCGATCCCCAGCCCCACCCCCAGGGCACACTGAGACAGTGATTGAGACTGGGCATGGTGGCAAGTGCCTGTAATCCCAGCACTTGGGAGGGTGTAAACAGGAGGATCACTATGAGTCTGATGTACTTAATGAGACCCTATAGACCCTGTACTAAATACGGGGGAAAAAAAAACCCAAAACGAATTCTCAGGATCAAGCCCAAATCCTTTGAAATGCTGTTTTAAGCCCTCTCAGATATGGGTACAGACCCTATGAGTTCTGTGTTTTAGAAAAATGTCCTGGCAGTCATCTGAACAGGTCAAGTACAGTCATGCCACATGACTGTACCTCATTATAAACACCATGGGGTGCTTATGACCCCTTTTCTACAGGAATAGAACATCCAAGGTTCTAACCACATCTCAGACTGAAGAATTTCCCAGCCTCTCTTGCAGCTAGAACTTGTAGCCATTGGACTAAGAGTGAAAATGATTCACACATCCTTTTGGATTGTCATTGCAAAGGAAAGCATACTTTTTTTCATTTTTTTAAGATAGGGTCTTGCTGTGTAGTTCAGGCTG